CACGTATCGAAGGATGTACGCACGCACGTACGCACGTACGTATCCTCGTGCACGCGCGTGACGCATTCAACGAGGCCGACCTTAGAAAGCTCCACGCGCTTAATTTCCTTCTTAAAAGATTATTAAAAGCCAATCACCAAAAGGCCCGATTCTTAACGAAATAGAGGTAAACAACGAGACAATAAACACCAGCGAGCCCTAAGCCTTCGAGTTTTACACGAAAAAAAATCTTCGTTTCAAGCGTGCCAGGACGGTTTGTTATTTACGACGGCGCTCTATTTGTTTCGTTGCACGGCCATCTTATTTTGTTGTCGCGCGCGGTCTGCGCATGCGCACACCAAACATCTCTACCCGCGAAAACACAAAGCTCAGTTCAGACGCTCCGTTAAAACTGAGAACGGGGATTAAAAATTTTATGAACTTTTAATAAAATTTATCGATATACGTAATAACATTATCATTGTTCCTTTTTACATATATCATCGTCGATATACATATCGTCATAGAATAAACAATAGATATTAATCAATTTTGAAAATATTACTAGACATTGTCGTAGTATCAAAATGTATATATATATATATATATATATATATATATATATATATATAAGCGACATTATACTCGATCCTAAATCATTTTGGAAAGCCAATCAAAATCGTTTACACGATAGCTCGCTACTTTTATCGTTAGTTCTTAAATCGCGACGATGGAGTATCAACCAATAATCATTGATAATCAATTTATATTAACGTAGTCAAATCTATATTAATTTTAAACTCAGGTTATGATAAAGTTACTACGAATGATATATATATATATTTATAAATATATATATATATATATATATATATATATATATATATGTACGTATGTATAAATGTAGCTCTGTAGAAGGTATATATAACTCTGCTAGAAAGTTACTCGTAAACAAGGTGGTGTTACACGAGAAACGTTTTCACTTTTGTCGTGTGAAATAAAACAACATACATTCATACATATTATATACACACACATATATACATACATAATATATAAATAAAAACGTGCGCGCGCATATATAATATATAATAATGGAGAAAATTTATAAAACATCGGCCGTAGGTTATTACATTAAATTAGCAAGAAAGAATCAGTCAAATGATATTGTGCGTTTCTTAAAGGAAAATTTTAACAACGAAGAAACGATATTCAAGAGTCTTATTAATTCCGGAAGAGTGATAAACGAGGAAGAAGCTAAATTAATAACCGAAGATCAAGAAAATTTTCAAAAAGCAATATTCGAAAGTTCTCCCTGTTTGTTGGCCTACAACGAAAAAACGAAGATGATCGTTGGAATTAATTTAATGATATTGAGTAAAAATTCACGTTTTAATAATTCTAATAATGCCGGTACCAATGCAATATTTCACGATAATATACCAAAATCAAAATTAATCAAGGATTATTATTATTATATGTCTACTATAACCGACAAGATTGATCTTTACGATAGATTTCCAAAGGCCAAAGAAGCATTAGAATTTTACGCTGTCGCCGTTGACAAGGATCATCGTAAAATAGGCTTGTCCTTAGATTTAACGATAGCAGGATTATCGTTGGCAAAAACCTATTCCAACGTTGGATTTATATTTGGTCTTTATACATCGACGTATTCGAAAAGAAGTGCCGAGAAAATAGGTATGAAGAGTTTAGCAGATGTCGATTTGCTAACCTATGTGAACGAAAAGGGTGAGCCAATTTTTCAAGACACTCCACCCCATAATATTGTATCCCTTATGACATTAGAATTATAAACATTATGATATATTTTATTTTCTCGTTATGTTTTTTTTTTTTAATGTATTCTTTTGTTTTTGTTTATTTTTGTTTTCCTTTTCTTAATATATCATACGCATAAACGGAGAGAGAGAGAGAGAGAGAGAGAGGGAGAGGGAGAGAGGGAGAGAGAGAGAGAGAGGGAGAGAGAGAGAGAGAGAGAGAGAGAGAGAGAGAGAGAGAGAGAGAGAGAGAGAGATGCAAACATGGACGTACATATATACATCTTTTTTTTATTTAGTTATTTTTTTTTTTGTTTAATTTTCACTCCCAAAGATCATTGCTCATTGGTCGATTAAATAGTTTCTTTTATCTTTTTCCCTAAGTACGATGCGAGATATCAGTTGTCTATTGGTAAGATACGTGAAAATTGAAATGAAACTAAACGAAACGAAACTAAAAAGCAAAATACAAAAAAGAAAATTGGGGAAAAAAAAAGATCGCTGAAATTCTATATCTCGTGTGTATTTTTATTTTCTTTTCTTTTTTTTTTTTTTTAATTCTTGACTTATGGAACAAGTATCGAAAAGTTTTAGCGTTTGATCGTATCTCTCGAATTGAGACATTAGCACAACAGTATAAGCATTGTACTAAATAAAATTTGTATTTATGTGGATTAAATAGGAACTATATGAAATGATGACGCTCGATTATAAACGGAACTTTAGAGTACTTGATGAAA